ATCGTTTCTTTTGGTTCCATGAAAGGCAGTTCTCAGGCAGAATTTTCTCAGGTCAGATCAATCTCAGGCTTCTGTGCCCTGCAGCTGAAGTACAAAGGTATCCTCAGTAACTGGTTCTTCCCCTCCACCTCCTGGGACAACAAAAAGCAATGGCGATAACTTAAAATGTTTTGGTAGTCTCTCAGAAAATCTAACTCAAAAAAAGCTTTTCATGCCTGGTGGTTGGGTTTTTGTTGTTGTTTTACTTTTTTGTTTTGTTGTTGTTGTTGTTTGTTCATTTTTTTTCAAGACAGGGTCTCTCTCTGTATAACAGTACTAGCTGTTCTGGAACTAGTACTTACAGGTAAACCAGTCCGTCCTCAAACTCACAGAGATCCACCTGCCTCTGCCCCTGCTGCTGCCTCTGCCTGTGCCTTCCAAGTGCTGGGTTTAAAGACACCACTGCCCTGCTTGGTGTAGGGTTTTGTTAGATAGTCTATGCCTCTTGGGGAGAGCACTGTCAACCCAGTTGGAATTTTTTCATTTAAACTACATCTGCATCTTTATATACAAACTTTTATGTATTGCACTATTCTTCAATAGATAGTTAATAGTGTGGTTTCTTATGATATTATCATACATCCTTACTGTTATTTTACTCTCCTTCTTGTGTATTTAGCCCCCCTTCTTAATTATGGCCCCCTTATTTTCCCATTTCCCCTTTCACATCACTTATTTCCTACTATTCCTTTGTCTATTGTCCTACCCCACCCCAAACAACCCTTTTTACTTTCCAGGTTTTTGCAGTTACTCCAGGTTATATATTTATATCTGAAGATCTAGATCTGGTAACCTGAAATGAAAGAGAACATTTGACATTTGTCTTTCTGGGTCTGGGTTACCCCGTTCAATATGGCCTTTTCTACTTGCAAATTTCATGATTTCATTTTTCTTCACAGCTGAAAACTAAGCTATCTACTTTGGAGATTCTATGTGCTAAGACTTGCATTTCAGACATAAATGGTTTTATATTTTTCAGAATAAATATTTCCTTAATCTATACTAAATAACTATCAAACAAATACTTTTACTCTGACTTTGAAAGGACACCATACATTTAACTTGACTTCGGTGTTTATCTGGGCCAACCCATGTCAAGTCATTCCCAGACCATGTCTTCTGAGTGCAGACTTATGGACTTACAGAACACAATTATTCAATTTATTAGCCTCCAAAGAATTTCTATTATGGGTCTTGAATGGAGATAGAGGATAAGTTACATAGCAAAGAAACAGGCTCTGTCAGCGTCATGTGTGTCTATAACACACAACCATTGCTTAGAAGAAAGAAGTACCTAACAGGATTAAGGTCTCGTGAATCCAGAGGGACCACTCTTGAGGACAAGGAGAGCCAATGCTATTAAGGAATAGGAGCACCTCCTAGGCCTTTACTTTCCTCAGGGTGGAAGCATAAACACATCTGAAACTTCACACTGAGGATGAGGCTGCAAGATGAATCTTGGTTCCTGGCTCGCCACATGGTTTTTCATCAATGATAATAGGTAATTCATATCAGTGCACAGTGTATGTATGAGTTTCCATATCAGAAACATCACACAGCAATTGTGTGCTAGTTTTAAAATGAGTACAGCCTGGATCCGGTGGCCAGTCCTCTTGGGTGGCTAAGCTGACTATGCACAGTCCCTCATTGTACCTGGGAAATATCATGGTGAAAATGCTGGGACAAATAATAGGATTTAAGCCACCGAGATGTCATTTGTCAAGGTTTTCTTGAATATATCTGTCAAGAGGAGGTGAACATTTCTCTAGAACATGCTTCCAATCACTCTCCCTCAGGAACTGAGCAGTGTGGGAACTTCATTAGAACCACTTAGGATGTTCATTGAAAACCTGACTAACAACTGGAACATGAACATCAGAAGCAACCTAGTGATCAAACGTTAGAACTGTAGTGTATCAGATTTGCTCGTGGGGTACGCAGGACTCACTTTCAAGCCTAGATAATCAATAGGTAAAAGAAACATTTTCTTAAGTAACACTTCACCTATATCTTCTTGTGGGACTGAGACTTGTCATTGGCCTAGCATAGGAGGCCTATGCTAGCACAGCCACAAACAGTAGCTTCTGGGGATGAAGACCTTACAAAAATATTTCCATACAGCATACACATACCTGCACACATATTTATACAAACACAGGGATATGAAATAAATATTTAATGCACCTTAAAATCTTCACCTACAGAATTTACAGTGAAAACAATAATAAAACCTTTAATGAGAAAAACATTAGCAGAGTCTATACCAATATTATAAATCATGTCTAAATAACAGTATCAGTAAGGTGAGCCGTCTAAAATACCCAGGGCACATTTTCAGCTAATTAAAACTAGAGAGTAGAAGTGACTCTTTTATCATTCAGAATATTGTACCCCTGATTATCCCATGGCAAATGATTTTACCTCAGTAATAACCGTGATCCAACATTCAGTTAGCAATTACCGCGTCAGACTTTATCTACTGGTAACAACGAGTTGACATAATATTACCCTGCATGCATTTATTTCATCATGCTAATAAAGTTTCCTATTACAAATGCTAAAGCATATTAGCCTGTCTGATGTAATATAGGAATCACATACAACTTTCTTGCAAAAAGAAGATGTGCATTTATATTTCATTTCTATTTTGAAACTTAAGTGCGTACGTACATTAGAGCAGAAAGTAACAAGCTATAGTCTATGTTGTAGAAGATGGCTTGTTTGTTCCCAGCTGCTCAGCCCCGAAATAATCACATAGAAACCATATTATTTGCAATACTGTTTGACCAATAGCTTAAGCGTATTTCTGGCTAACTCATATCTTAAATTAACCCATCTCCATTAATCTGTGTATTGCCACGAGGCTATGGTTTACCACATCTGTCTCCAGTGGTACTACATGGCTTCTCTGACTCTATCTTCTTTCTCCCAACATTCAGTTTACTTTTCCCGCCTAGCTCTACTCTGCCCTGTCTGGCCAAGTGAGCTTCTTTATTCATTAACCAATAAAAACAATACAGAAGGACCAACTCTGTAGTGAACACAAGAAAATAATAATAAATACCAACAAATGTCCCTGTGAGGAATGGCATCTATTGTAATTTAGCCACATTCTGTCACCTTGGTGTTCACATAACAACACAAAACTGGTCCTTTGTAAACACCAAGGAGAAACAAGTGCATCTGTGCATCTTGTCTTTAACACGGAGTTCAGGAAGACCACTATGACTCAAACTAACTCTCCTGGAACACAGAGCATTTTGCATAGACTGATGAAAACCTTTGATAATGATGTTGATGTGATTAATGATGACATTTCAGTATCCTCCAGGCATAATCCCTGGCAATGAGTTAGCTATCTCTGAAGGTTTGTAGAAGAAAGAAGAGAAATTCTATTGTGTTCACCAGTGATAAACATTCTGTTTGCAGTCTGCCACGTCTGCCACCCAGGATCCATCTTGGAAACTCATTTCCTTCCCATGTACTTCTGTATCTACTTGGTAAATACTATCTCTGCTTCCTGGTGAGGAACTTAAGGCAAGAAGGCTAGGGGAGGTAGGTAAGGGTACTATCCAATGGGAGAGGCTATGTGCAGAAACAACGTGCCCTATACTGTTTTTTTTCCCTCTCCAGCCATACAAGCTAAGTTGTCTTAAAGAATTACACACATTAACACTTTATAATTGAAAAACTCTCAGCAGGAGGCTAGCTCATGGAATTAAGACTGATATAAGTGGCATTTTTCCCTTGGTCTCCAAGGGCTCATCCAATATTTGTCAACTCTTTATTAATGGAATTCTTCACTCGCTGTGAAAGATGGCATTAGTCTTGGTGCTACCAAGTATAAGAAGTCCAGTTAATCACACAAAGAGTGATGGAGACTCAGTTAAACTTAAAGCAAAATGAACATGCTGCCATAGTTAGAGCCAAGCTCTTGCAAATACTATCAAGGTCCATCTGCAGGTTGCGGGACTGACTCCGGTCTTGGGTATAGATCACAGAAGAGCATTATTCCAGCTAAAGTCAATTGTTGTGCAACACCTGAACTCTCTTAAGATCGTATAGGCATGAAGGCTCAACCCTCCCTTGAGAGATGTGACCTCCACACATACAACATGGCACTGGCTAGAGGTCTAGAGAATAGTCATAGAAACATGTTGGCAGAGACTGCTCATTTGTTTCCTGGCTGCACAGACCTGAAATAATCATGCAAATCTATATTAATTACATCACTTCTTGGTCAATTAGCTTGTGCATATTTCTAGCTAGCTCCTACATTTTAAATTGACCCATTACTATTAATCTGTACATCACCACAAGGTCGTCGCCTACCAGCAAGGTTCCAGCATTTGTCTCCTCTGGCAGCTATCTCTCTCTCTCTCTCTCTCTCTCTCTCTCTCTCTTATACATATATGGGAGATAGATAGATAGATAGATAGATAGATAGATAGATAGATAGATATAGAAATGAAGGTATAGATATAGATATTGTCCAGCCTGGCTATATTCTGCCCTGCTATAGGCCCAAAGCAACTTCTTTATTGAGCAATGGTATTCACAAGATACTCAAGGGAATCCCACACCAGGAATATGGAGGATTTAAAGACAAAAAGTACATCCAAGGCAGCAGTCCTGAGTTTTCTCAGGACATGTGTGCTCTAGCCACACTGTGGGAGGCCAAGGAGGATCCCATGGAGCTTGGTCCAGACACTAGTGGGGCCTAGTGTGGATGTATATAGACCACAGCTGTGAACCTGGTAACAAGCACGCCTTCATAGTTTTGTGAGGCGTGTGAAAGCACAGGCCCTTTTGAGACTGCAGTATCAGGAAACCGGAGGCCATTTGCAAAGTTGACCCACACACAGAATCACTTTTAAGTTTCAAGGCTATGGACAGGGCAGACCAGCTCTAGCCTCCCTCTTTGGCTCAGTGAAGCAGCTGTGTTACAAAAGTGTCCTGCTGCACTTACCTGGCAGGGGAGATACCATGATCACGATGGTCATTTTCCCAGGGGGAGGCTAATCCATTGCACTTGGATGTGCTGACCCTTGTAATTTCCTCAAATGTGGGAAACCCAAATGCTTAATTTGTGGTAGCAGGATGCTGCATCCATGCTCTCCCCTGTTGAAAATAGAAAAAGATTTCAAAAGGTGTCCTGCTGAAGAATGCTGGGTCTCAGCAGGTAAACGTATTAATTTGGTGGTCTGTTTCTTGTTCGCATCAAAATGTAAGTTGAGGAAATCTCTTTAAAATGTATAATAAATCCTTGCCATGCTTTACCTTGCTATGAAAACTTTCGCATTTTCCAGCCATTGCAAGCTCACACTCAAGAAAACAATTACACAGCCTAAGAAGAGATGGATTTGGAGGTGTTGAAGCCCAATAGACAACAGACCTACGGTAGTTGGGAATTTTGGACCAAAAGCTTCATTTAATAAGTCTCTCCTGCCCACTCCACCCCCACTCCCACCACAAACACACTTGATTGTGGCTTTGAGCTTCCAGAGACCTTCAGTCTAAAATCCAGTCCCGAAGTTTATGGCTTCTGGGGTTTATAGTCTTTCCCTTGAAGGTTTTCTGTACCTATTAGTGTACAATATGGTTCTTCCTCTCACAACAGTGGCTCCTATGAAAGCCAGGAAAGTTTTATGCAATACACATGGAGATTGAATGGGACTTCTTGAGAAATTTGGATAAGACTTTGCTTTGAGGGGGTTGGAGTGTGTGTGTGTGTGTGTGTGTGTGTGTATGTGTGTGTGTGTGTGTGTGTTCATGAATAGATTCAACAGTTTTACCCTTCCACTTTCCAATCTACTTAGTTTGAAAAAAGAGAAGAAAATTAAGATTTTTTAAAAATTATTCAAACTGTAATTTCATTTCAAGCAGAGTCCTCCATTGCTTGTCTTATGTTTGAATGAGCTATTTGCCTGAAATTACAGCCTCATTAACAGTTCAATTGCATAAACTTAATCTTGTAGTGACACCACATAGAACAACAGCCAAAACAACAAACCTGCCCGGCCGGTTGTTCTGGTACTAAAATGATCAGCTACTTCACTTGCTAATATTTCCTTCCTCAAGACCCTTGGTCTAATTCGCCACTTAAAAACTCAAGCAGTCTCATTACAGAAGACCTTGGCAAGAGTGAAGAGCCAATGCTGACACTTGGGTTTTACTTCGCTGAAGATACTCGTCAATGCAGGTCTCAGTTAAGACAAATAGCCCAATCATAGACTCCACTTGCTTTGCCCACAGTGGAGGGGTGGAGGTCATCTTCTGGACATTCTGTTCTTTGCAATTGTCACCACTGAAATGTGCAGCCAGCTCACTTACTACCCACATAGGAGAGCCAGCCTGTTTGTAAACTAGCAGCCCTAACTTTCAATGCTCAGAAGGTCACTGTATAAATAATGCAAGATGCATCCCGTGACTTTCATAAAGTACAGCTTGAGGATAGTATAGTAACCAACTGTGTTATAAAGAATTATCTTCATTGTTTCTGTCAGCATTTGAAGCCAACTAAAATTACCAAAACTATATACTTCTCATTTATCACCCAATTCTATAAGAGAAAAGGTAATATGTTTCTCAGCAAGGGATAACATTTGGCTACTCTAGGAGCTACTACTATTTAGAGTAATAAGAAGAGAAAAACTAGGAGTAATCGTAACACTGGGAACATTTCTCCACATCTCAAAATGTAAGGCTCAGCGATGAAGAGCACTGCCTGTTTTTCCAAAGATCCTGAGTTCAGTCCCCAGCAACCACAGGGTGGTTCACAACCATCTATAATTAGATCTGGCGCCCTCTTGGGGAAGAGATCTGATCAGTCATCTTCATCATTTTAGACCATGAAACTCAATATGAACAAGGTCATCAGCCATATACTGCTGCCCATGTCTGCCCCAGCATTGCCAGGGCATAAATTTCAAATTTCATTCATTTCAAAATGTAACAGGCTCTCTATTAAGAGTCTTTCAATGTGTACAATCTCATTTAAGCCTTAAAACATTTCTATAAGGGTCAGAACTATGTATTCACATTTTACAGAGAAGTAGCTAGAGGCATATGTGTGTAATCACTTTCCCAGGCTGATCAGGGATTCAAGTACATTTCCTTTGGGTTCCAGAATCCAGACCTCTATAGCTATGCTCTAGAGTGCTTCAATAGGACTGCTAGCCTTAGCCTTGGTTCATAAGATATAACACTTGGGAGGCAGACATGGGTGGGTCCCTGAGTTCTAGGCCAGCCTTATCTACAAAGCGAGTTCCAAGATAACCAGCGCTACAGATAGAAACCCTACCTCAAAAAACTAAAATAGGAAAATAGGAAAAAAAAATAAAAACATAGCCTAGATATTTCATAAACAGTATGTACATGTTTAGACTGTGTAACATTTTCAACTTCAAGGACTTTCCACTTTTTCATTATAGCACATATATAATCTGTGAATTAAAACATAATTACACTCTCAGTAAGTTTCAAAATACTCAAAGTTATATCAATTCAGCCTCCATCCCAAGATCAAGAAAGAGATGGCTTATGCATTTTTAGTCTTCCAATTAAGGACAAGTATGTTTGCAAAGTGAAGGTTATTTTGACTTTGATAAGTATATTGCTTACTGTCTGACCATAAAGGACCAGAGCTGGGGATGTTTTGTTCTTCACTTCAGGCATGATGACTGGACCTCCCTGGTTGTAAATTCCCTAATATTTGATGGCTCCAGAGTCAGCAGAGAAATGATGCATAATAAACACAACAATGCATTATCCACAGTTTCTTGATTTGGTGCCCAGTCAGGGAAGGAAACAGTCTACTTGTGAATGGATTTTCCAAAATAATACACAGGCGGTGTCTATTGGAAAGATCTGAAGAGGAAAATTGAAGCTTGCTTTTCATGCTACAGTCTCCAAATTAGCCTTTGAAACTGACAATCGTGAATGACGCGGACCCGTGTCCCACCATCACAGGATTGGTATCAGAAAGAACAGAGCATTCGGGCTTTCATCTGCCTGGGAAAAAGGAAACAGAGTTTATTTTGGACAGAAAAGGGGGAAAAAGGATATTTGATAAAAGCCAAAGAAACAAGCTGCCCAAATCTTTTGACGAAGAAGAGACAAAGGGAATGGGTTTGTGGAATAATACACAGACCTAAAAATAATGTTTCAATAATTCTCTAATTGTTCCATTTTATCCAGAACAATGTTTTTGCAAAATCCAAAAGCTCACTTTAGAAGGAAAAATAAAAACTATTTTAAGGCCTGCCTGTGAGGAAATGGTATTTTTCAAGTATGAAGTAAGCTGTAAGGGAAACAGTGAGGATGTACAACATGGGGGTGAACCCACAGCTCTGCCCATGGCAGCTGCCTCCCTGTCTGCATCCAAATTAGAGACATGATTTGTTGCCAGGGACCTGAGTTGTTACGGAGTTCAGGTCTGGCATTTCATAGTTTATGAGCTTAAAACGGTGAAGTGATTTCCACAAGGTCATGCTTAAGTTGTAGTCTTTCTATTGTCTAAATAACAATGTCAAAAGGATGAAGGAAAAGGAGGCTGTATTGTATCCCCCCCTTGGAAAATGATGACTGTGCCTATTGGAAGAGCAGTTCCCTAGGCCACACAAGATTCTGGGTTCAATACCTGAGGTTACAAAATAAATTAATTACCCAAAGACTTTCTGTAAGAAAATGGTCATGATTGTGGCTGCGGAATCCATGCATTCACTAAAGCATACTCTTAGGAACCCAAGAAGCACACGTGGATCTATGTTGCCATTAAGCAAGTTGTAACACTCTGCTTACAAACTGCATTAAAGTGCTTGGCCTCCTGAAAGAGCTAGAGCCATTTCTGCTGGCACACCAGGAAGCTAGCTAGGCTACTAAAGAAGCCACACAAGCCTTCCTTGCCAGGGCTGAATCAGGAAGACCTCTCTTAAAGGAGCCCCAGTGCTTCTGATCTCCTTCTGCAAACTGAGCCTATCAGGGGGCGGGGGGGGGGGGGGGGGGGCGGGAATGTGACTACCAAGAAGATCCACTAAACTGTTTGTGTGTGTGTGTATCCGGGGGGAAAATGTGACTACCAAGAAGATCCACTAAACTGTTTGTGTGTGTGTGTATCCGGGGGGAAAATGTGACTACCAAGAAGATCCACTAAACTGTTTGTGTTTGTGTGTGTGTGTGTGTGTGTGTGTGTGTGTGTGTGTGTGTGTGAGTGTATGTCTAGATTTTTTTTCTAAGCTCTCTCAGGTTTTATGTGGATGTAGTCAGCACGTGGCATGTCATTCTGTAGGTAGAAGCTGCTTTTTCACTTCCTCTGTTTCTGATTCTCACCCACCTGACTGCTACAAAGAGATAATCGTTCTACTGGTACTCTTCTAGTTCAAGACCATGTAATCTTAGTTCACTGGAGGAGTACCCTTGGAGGAGATACTAGAACACTAGAAGTCTTGTGACTTCCTGACCATCATGAGAACAGCCTACCACAAGCTTCTCCCATGATGTACCATGTCAAAATAGGCCCATAGCAGCAAAGCTAAGCAACCATGGACTAAAATCATGAGCCACCCTTATAAGTGGATTATCTCCCAGTATTTGTTACAGTGGCAGAAAGCTAGTACGGTGGCCTAATTACATATACATTAAGTACCACTCGGACCCCAAGAACAGCCAAGACTGAAAGGGGCCCAGGCTTGCCCTTACAGATCTTATATACTCTAGAGAGAAGCATTGTAACAGGTACCTGTAACCATAGAAACTAAATATACATAAGCTAGTATCATCAAAATAAGTGTGCAGAGAGCAGTCATAAAATGGAAAGATTTTTCTCTGGGGAACATCCCAAATAAATGCCGTCACTACAGTGGAAGCAACAGTCCAATTCTTATTTCTGTTGTTGAACATTTTAATATCTACCCTTCCCATCCCTTCCCATCCCTTCCCATCTTGTAACTTCATCCTGGGCCACTGTATAACAAGGAGAAAGTATGAGTGCAGAAGGAAACATTTCCTTCTTAAAATGGTTAATAATTCTGCATTTGTGATTTGTAATAAAGAGCCCATGTCCAAGTTGATTCTACTGTTTTACAAATTTCCTGAAGGCCATATACTCTCCTATTGCCTCCACC